CCTCAGACCCTGATTGAGAACCATCATGTACCAGTAGGCCTCAGACCCCCCTGATTGAGAACCATCATGTACCAGTTGGAGTCCTCAGACCCTGATTGAGAACCATCATGTACCAGTTGGGGCCCTCAGACCCTGATTGAGAACCATCATGGACGGTCAGTGACGTAGAACGTTCTGTCTTTTCTCTCATTCTAACTCCAGTCAGTTACAATAATTAACCTGCATTTTAAACATCATGATCCAGATCATTACCATGTAAGATGTAAACACACCAACTCTGTCACGTGACCTGATTATTTCTGCATTGTTTCACACGTTTTTCTCGTTTGTCACGGTTTTACCAACAATAACCTTTACAAAAGTTGAGTTTGTAGTACTTTGTAGTACTTTGTAGTAGTACAGATGTACACATTCAGCTGGTCAAACGGCTGATTTCTACGTGTCCCACCAACAGCTCCGTGGCTAAAGTCCTGAAACACCGCGTCAGCTCCACTCTGTTCTGACACGTCTCACGGCTTCGAGGCTCGGCCGAGTCTGGTGCAGTTGTCACGGTGTGTTTTTGGGTTCTACACGGGGGTCAATGTGGCAGAGACAGAGCGGTGTAGCACTGAGCCAAAGTACACGCTAGTACACGGCAGTACACTGGAGTGCAACTGCAGGTGTACTGAGTGACCTGCCGTGCCCCCCCCTCCCCCTGTGTACGTTAGACCGGCCGTAGAACCAGAGATGTGGGAGGACAGGGAGGGAGTGACACCCGGAAACCACAGCGACTTCTTACCGTCCCACAGTCCGGGACACATCAGCACCGACAGACAGAGAAAAAGACACAGTCATTTAAACGTGAATTATTATAATCGAGTTCACGTCCTGATGAAACATCCTCTGTCGGTGCCATTAATCCTTCACCATCTACACACACTTTAAACGTTAAAAAGTTACTCTGTTTTTACCGCGGTCCGTATTTTACACTAACCCGAGCTTTGTGCTTACGACCTCACGATATATCGTGGCGTCTACCGCCCCGTGGTGTGTTTTAACTTTAACTAGTTGTGACATTAAGTTTCCACCGAGTCGTCGGGCCGTAACGCCCAACTATGTAGCTATGTAGCTAATAGCTCATTAGCCACTGCTACATAGTAGCTACAACTGCTAAGCGCAGCCTCAAACCCGAACACACAATTTTTCTGGCTGTTAAAAAAAAAGCACAGTTTTGTGGAAAAAACGTGACTTGCGCACAAGCCTCGGTTCGTGCGAACATTTCTGTCACGACGGTGCCCGGCGGTGTCTCGGTGTCACGGGACAACTGAGCCGCTAAGTTCGAACGTCGACCAAGGGTACAAACTCTGAGAGCTGACGTTAAACATCGCTGCTGTGCCGCTTAGCTTAGCGGCTAATGCTAACTTGCGCACCGCTGCAGAGAACCGCTCCTCCATTGCTCAAACGCAGCAGCGGCGGCGCCGTGCTGGGCTTAAAGCCGCAGTATGGTCACCCACCCGAGGCACAGTGGAAGTCACTGAAACTCACCGTCTTCCAGGTTAACATTGAACCGTTTCCATTCCCCTCGTCTTTCGCTAACTCCACGGCCAGGCCTCCCCCCCTTCTCCGGTCCAGATGTGTCAGACAGTTGCTGCTGCAATATTTGCATCAACAGGAAGTGTTCTTTTGGCTCTTTGCATTCAGTCTGTCAGCGTATTTTGTGGGTGGCCCTCCCCTGCGCACGGACTCAGACATCTTGTTCTACATATATGACGTGGTGCGTGCATCGAGGCGCCAACATCAGCGGTGAACGAGGCAGGACGCCGGTTTGTACAGTGTGTTCAGCCGACATTGTTACGGCGCACGGCATCGTCTGTGACCACCAGCCCAGCGGTGCCACCTATGGGCTCGTCACGTGCACCTCGTCAAAGGGAGGGTTTTTATTATTTTATTTTATTATTTTTTATTTTTATTTGTTTTGGTCATGTGTTTTAAAATAAGCGGTTTCTTGTTGTTCTTGTTGCCAGATCTGTTGAAGAAAC